GATCCAGAGCCGGCTTTTAGGGGGAGCAGAGTGAGCAATTGCACAGGGCCCCCAATTAATTGGGGCCCCATATATAAATATTAAAATATTATATATATAACTTTTACAGTATTCAAGATGAAAAATTATTATTTATTTTCCAACGGTTCTGTCTTTTAATTCTTATATTCTTGATGCAAATGGCATTCCTTCAAGCCTTTCAAGCAATTGAGAAATCCAACAGCAACTTTCAAATTGATAATTTCATTCAATCATTCTCTCCTAATTATTTTCGATTCTTCATTCTTTTGCTTTCCGGCTTCCCCCAGGCTGCCAGAGAGGTATGTCTAAACTTTTTTTTTTTTATTTTTTATAGATGAGATATCAGATATATAATATATTACCAATTTTTGTTAATTTGTTTGTGCATTTTTTATTTAACAGATTTGCCATTATTGAGAACAAGACTAAAGTCCCAAAAATTGGAAAACAAATTGATTTTGAAATCATTTGGCCCCAAAATCAGTTTGTGTTGCTCCTATCTTTTNGAAAAACGTAAAAAGAAGAAAAGAAATGAAGAGTTAATTCAATCCCAAAAAGGAGCTATTGATAAATTTTTAAATAAAAAACAAGTTTTGGAAAATAAAAATGTCAATGCTAGTGCTTCTAATGTTAATAATGCCAATGATAATGATCCACAAAATGATGTTGTTCAAGAAAATGAAAAAAATGCCATTGATGATGATATTATGCATTTCAATGTTGAACCAGTTGTTGATGTTGTTATGCCTTCTAATGATGAACATGTTGATGATGTTGCTATGCTTTCTAATGATGAGCATGTTGATGATGTTGTTATGCCTTCTAATAGTGACCATGTTGATGATGTTGCATATCATAAGCTTGACATATTTGATCCAAGGACATGGGATGGTTTGGACTCTCAGATGATTGATATATTAGAAGTAAATGGTCCTAAAAGAGACTTATCTATTATAAAAGGAGTTAAGGATAAATTTGGAAGACAATTTTCTAATTCATTCTACACTAGAGTTCTACCAAATGGGGAAAAATGTGATAGAGATTGGCTCATATATTCAAAAGAACTTGATAAGGTTTTTTGCTTTTGTTGTAAATTATTTAGAAAAGGATGTGGTAAAGGTCAACTAGCAAATGAAGGTTTTAGTGATTGGGCACATCTTTGTGTTAGAATTAGGGAGCATGAAATTAGTATGGAGCATGTTCAAAATATGGCCACATGGTATGATTTGCGCTTACGACTTAGAAAAAATATAACTATTGACAAAGTGGCTCAAAAACAACTTGAGAAAGAAAAGGAGCATTGGAAAAGTGTCTTGTTGAGAATTATTTCAATTGTGAAGTTTCTTGGTAAACATAACCTAGCATTTCGAGGCACTAATGAAAAATTGCATCAAAATGGCAATGGAAATTTTTTGGGATTAATTGAGATGTTAGCTGAGTTTGATCCTATTATCCAAGAGCATGTTCGTCGTATTACTAATGATGATATTCATATTCATTACCTTGGTCATAATATTCAAAATGAGTTGATTCTTTTGCTTGCTTGTGCAATTAAATCTGAAATCATTAAAAAAAATAAAAGAGGCCAAATATTTTTCTGTGATACTTGATTGTACACCTGACGTGAGCCACCTGGAGCAAATGTCTTTAATTTTAAGATATGTGAATTTTTCTTCTAATTCTGTGTGTATTGAAGAATCATTTTTAGGATTTTTGAATGTGAATGATACAACTGGACAAGGGCTTTTTGATGTGTTGTTGGATAAATTAAATGCTCTTGAACTTGATATAAATGATGTGCGTGGACAAAGTTATGATAATGGATCAAATATGAAAGGAAAGAATAATGGTGTTCAAAGAAAGCTTTTGGATTTGAATCCTAGAGCCTTTTACACTTCTTGCGGTTCTCATAGTCTTAATTTAATGTTGTGTGATATGGCTAATAATTCTGGAAAAGCTAGGGATTTTTTTGGAATAATCCAACGCATTTACACTATATTTGCAAATTCAACAAAAAGATGGCATATTTTAAAGAATAATGTGAAAGAACTAACTCCTAAATCATTGTCTTCTACTCGTTGGGAAAGTCGTGTTGATAGTGTAAAGGCAATAAGATTTCAAATCTCAAATATAAGAGAAGCTTTGCTTGAGGTTGCCGAAATTGATAATGACTCGAAAATAAGAAGTGAAGCGAAATCTTTAGCGAATAATGAGCTTGGCGATTTTGAGTTTATTGTGGCCATTGTTATATGGTATGACTTGTTATATGCTGTTAATTTAGTTAGCAAAAAATTACAATCAAAAGATATGCTTATTTCTGGTGCCATTGAAAATGGGAAAAAATTGATTTCATATTTTAAAGAATATAGAGAAAATGGTTTTACTAATGCTCTTGAAGTTGCTCGAAAACTTGCAATTGACATGGAAATTGATCCAATATTTCCTCAAAAGCGTCAAATTAAAAGAAAAAGACAATTTGATGAGAATTTTGATGATGAGATTCCACAATGTGCTGAAGAGTGTTTTAGAATTAACTATTTCAATTGTATTATTGATCAAGCCATTGTCTCACTTGATAAGAGATTTGAACAATATAAAAAATATGAAAATGTGTTTGGTTTTCTATTTTCTTCTGATAAATTGCATTCATTGGATGATTCGAGTTTAAGGTCTTATTGTAGTCATTTGGAAGATACACTCAAAAGTGGTGATAAATGTGATATTAATGGTTATGATTTATATGTAGAGTTAAAAATCAGAAATTCTATGGTGCCCATATGGGCACCATAGAATTTCTGGTTAAAAATGCTTAAAGAGTTTTTGCATAAAGAAAATTTGGGAGCTTTTGATATTTTACAATTTTTGAAACGAGTTGATTGTTTTCCTAATGCAATTATTGCATATAGGATATTGTTAACCATTCCTGTAACAGTTGCAACAGCTGAAAGAAGTTTTTCAAAGTTAAAGTTGCTTAAATCTTATTTGCGCAGTTCTATGTCACAGGAAAGGCTTAATGGACTTGCAATCGTGGCAATCGAAAATGAGATTTTGGACAAAGTTTCTTATGAGGATTTGATTGATGAATTCGCTTCAAAGAATGCTAGAAGGACGAGATTTTTTAAATAACATTCATGTTAGAACATTAATCTTGTTTTTGTTGTATTTTGTGGGTACGAGGACATCTTGTTTTAGTTGTATCATTAAATATTTGTATTTTATTAATAAAATATTAAAAATATATTATTCAATATTGTAATTAGGGGGGCCTAATTTTATTTTTCGCTCTGGGCCCAAAAAATGTTGGAGACGGCCCTGGTTATGTGGTATTGGTAGTGTTGTTTTGCGCCTGTTTTTTATTGTCTATTTTCGATGGACGGTTAAGCGGAAACATGTTATCATCGTCTGGACCACAGACAAGGAACAAGCGTTGAACATGTTACTCTGAGCCACTGTCTTGTTGATATTTCCCATTCATACAATGTAAAAATTTATGCTACAAACAAATTAAAATATTGAATGTTGAAGCCTATGTGGTACACCCAAAGATTTCATTTGAAGCCTCAACGTTGTATGTGGGAATATGATACAACCATCTAAAGAATAAATAATAAGCTATGAATTACGTGATAGAGTTAAGGGTATATTATAACCTACACCAAATAATGGATTCTAAAATTAATTTTTCAATTTTTTTGAAAGAAACGTATCAATTTTGTATTAATATAAAATATATATACCTCTTGAATTATTTGATATAGTTTTACATTTTGCTAAACCATCATTTAAACCAGTCAAATTCTACTTCAAATGGTAAAAAATTTATTTTTTGAGACAAAAACTTTAAAATAACGGATGAATATGATTTTCAATTTTTGAATAATTTGCGAGGCAATAATGATGCGCAAATTGCCTTCAGAGTGTTTTTAGACCTGCATATCACTACGAATGGTCTTTCGTCTTGAGCTCTAGTTACCTGCAAAACAAGTCGGGGAGGTCTTAGAGGAACACCTCCGACGCTCAGGTTAGATCTCGCTCGTGAATAAGCTAATGCCGTAATATGCGTTTATGTAAAGAGACCCTACCGTATCTCCTTTCTTAGTATAATACGTCTCTGAGATCTTAGATTCTTAAGCGAGATATATTAACCATCCTTACTAGGATTCTGTTCCCTCTTAACACGACTCTTAGGTCCTTAGGCCGTTTCAGCGACCTCTTGACTCATCTGCTGCAAGTGCTTACCAGGTCAAAACCACGACCTTCACCTCTACTACCTGAAGGTCATATTGACCCCTCATACATATGAGCTCCCTGAGGAGTTCGGCTCCTTGCTTCTTCATTTAGGTCGACTCATACCTTGAGCTCCCCCACTGAGCTCCCAGACGAGGTCAATCCCTGATATCGAGCCAAAGCTTCGTTGAACCGATCATACCCGAGCTAACTACACAGTCTAGTTCATGGAGCTAATTGTTATATTTTGAACTCATCCATTTTTGCAATAAATTCATTGTGAGCCAATCTTGGGTGACGTAAAATTTCAGAAATGTCTAATCTACTTTACACGCTTGGATCTTGAGCCAGATTCTTCTACAGATTTTCAAAACAAGTAAAACAACTATTTACCTTGTTTCGAAAAGTAGGAGATTTTTCTAAAGTACGCATTTTTTGTTCAAAACAAACTATTTGCATTGATAGTTTTTAATAGTAGACGCACTTGTTGCATAATTAATACTTATAGAAAAATGTACATATTTTCACTTATTGAATGTCAAACTTTTTTCATGTTGTGTTAAAAAACATACTTCTCCTTTCAACAATAGAAGCATGTATTTCTTTTCAAAGATACGACTGTCGGCGAGGTGGCTCAAATAAGTTTCTGTGTTTTTGTCTCTGTTTTTTTTTTTGTTTAAAAAAAAAACTATTGTTAATGAAAAGTTTTAAAAGACTCTTTCAATCACTCGTGTGTTTAATAAAATCTCAATATGCAAAACATTCAGGTTGTTTCTGTTAAGATAATACGCAACCGACACACCGGCCAATCCGAGAGGTACGGATTTGTCGAATTCAGCTCTCACTCGGTGGCCGAGACTGCCCTTCATGACTACAATGGCACCCCTATGCCCAATGCTGAGCAACCCTTCCGCCTCAACTGGGCGGCCTTCAGTGGCGGCAGTGGCGGTGACAGGCGACCGGAGGCTGGCTCAGACTCTTCCATTTTCGTCGGGGATTTAGCCACTGATGTCACAGACACTCTTTTGCTCGACACTTTTGCCAGTAAGTACCCATCCGTGAGGGGCGCGAAGGTGGTGGTTGATTCCAGCACTGGCCGCTCAAAAGGTTATGGGTTTGTTAGGTTTGGTGATGACAACGAGAAGTTGAGGGCACTGACTGAGATGAACGGCGTGCAATGCTCGAGTAGGCCTATGAGGATTAGCATTGCCACTCCAAAGAAACCCTTGCTGCTGCAGCAGCAGCAGCAGCAATATGGTTCTCACGGTAACAATATTGACCCTACAGTAGTAGTATGTAGTTGCTTGCTTTTGTTTTTATTGATGTTTTGACCTTTTTTTTTTTCTTTTATGAGATTTTTTGACACAAATGTATGAGTCTGGGGCCGTTGTTTGGTTAGTTGGTGAAAAGATTTTTGCTTTCTTGACCTACAAAATATGCTTTATAATTTTGTAGATTCATATGCATGTTGGTAAATCTCTTGTATTTCTGACTGGCAGCATGTTCATGAAACTGGTGGAGTTACAGGTTCTGATATGGATGTGGTAATTAATCAATTTTTAAAATATATCATAAGTAAAATTAATGTAAATTATAGATGAAAGGCTATAATTGAGCACATCTTTTGATTGAAATAAATAGTACATGTGCAAAATAATTAAATATTTAAATATGTAAGTTTCCATATGTTACAAGAATTTTGATTACTATAATTTATTTTTGTAAAAAAAAAATATTATACATACATACATATATATATATATATATATTTATATTTAAAAGAATCTGCTGGTTCTTTTCACCAACTTTACCAGTTCTATTCATTTCTTTTTTCTTTTTTCATTATTGGGATCAGTTTTTGATCCTACTATTCGAACTGGCAGGTGCGGTCTCTTTTTCTGTGTAAGTACGGTTTTGTTTTCAGTAGATTTGATGGATCTTCTTGTAATGTACTCCATGTATGTTATATGTTCATTATCTTTCCCTGTAGAATTCCAGCAGTCCTCGATTTGTCATTACGATCAATACTCCTCGATTTGTCATTACGATTTGTTCATTATCATTTCCTTAGTTGTTCTCATCTCTCTCTCTCTCTCTCTCTCTCTCTCTCTCTCTCTCTCTCTCTCTCTCTCTCTCTCTCTCTCTCTCTCTCTCTCTCTCTCTCTCTCTCTCTCTCTCTCTCTCTCTCTCTCTCTCTCTCTCTCTCTCTCTCTCTCTCTCTCTCTCTCTCTCTCTCTCTCTCTCTCTCTCTCTCTCTCTCTCTCTCTCTCTCTCTCTCTCTCTCTCTCTCTCTCTCTCTCTCTCTCTCTCTCTCTCTCTCTCTCTCTCTCTCTCTCTCTCTCTCTCTCTCTCTCTCTCTCTCTCTCTCTCTCTCTCTCTCTCTCTCTCTCTCTCTCTCTCTCTCTCTCTCTCTCTCTCTCTCTCTCTCTCTCTCTCTCTCTCTCTCTCTCTCTCTCTCTCTCTCTCTCTCTCTCTCTCTCTCTCTCTCTCTCTCTCTCTCTCTCTCTCTCTCTCTCTCTCTCTCTCTCTCTCTCTCTCTCTCTCTCTCTCTCTCTCTCTCTCTCTCTCTCTCTGTTTGTGTGTGTGGGTGGGTGGGTCTTTTGATTAAAATTGATAATGTCCCTCTTTATGGAACTGTGTTTATTTTGCTGTAACTGATAGATTTCATTTAGTGCGACAATTATTCGACATTTCTGACTCAAATATTTACGTGTGATTGTGGCCGGTGGATATGCATCTAATGTTGCTGTGTCTCTAGGTCAGCAAGAGAACGATTTATCTAACACAACGGTGAGTCCTCTTCCCGTTTGAAAGTTATTTGTCAAAAACTTGTCCAGTGACTTGTATAAATTACCATGTTCTAATTAGATATTTGTGGGAGGACTTGACTCTGATGTCACTGATGAAGAACTAAGAGGGTCTTTTATTGCATTTGGTGAAGTTATATCTGTTAAGATACCAGCTGGAAAGGGATGTGGTTTTGTACAATTTGCAGACAGGTAATACTCTGGTTTTGTGGTTTTGTTCTGTAGTATTTCTTATTTAAAAGGACTCTAGCTGTCTTCTTAGCTGTAAATATTAATAATGATGTTAATATAATTAAAGGAAAAGAGAGACATTGATCAATTACAACCTGAATCATAACTAAATTGAATCTTCTGGTGTATGCCAAAGAAATTCTGATATCCAGTTTGTGTCTGAGGTGAACTTTCTAAACAATACCTTATGCTTCACCCTTGTAAAGCATGTCATATTTTTCCAAAGATGAGAGAAAAGTGCTGCACATTAGTGAATGTTAAATCAAAATTATTGGTCGTTCACGGTAGTTGCCCATGTGCCTGTCAATGTAACAAATATAGTTGAATGCTACTTATAAAGTGGATATCGAGGATAAAGGATCATTATAAATAATCATAGATATGAGATTTGTAGGATTTTGCTGTGATGTAGATTAAGTTTTGCATTGTTATTTAATGTTGGTGTAACCATAGATGACACTTTTAATTTGGTGTATAACAGAAATAGTGCTGAGGAAGCAATTCAAAGACTAAATGGATCAGTTATTGGCAAGCAGACAGTTCGCCTTTCTTGGGGTCGGAGCCCGGCCAATAAGCAGGTACTGTACTTCTTCTGTGCAAAACTATAATCTCTTAGAAAGCACAAATGATTTTAGGCAGCAAAACTGTTAGGCATGTCAATCCGCCATACTTTATAAACAAAAATGCATACTTATGTTTGGGTTGTTATTTCAAGCATATTTGAGCATAGAAGTCTGCATAAATAGATTGCCTACCAGGCCTGCCTAAAGAATCATTACCTGAAGAAAATAATCAGCATATTTATCCTTGATAGTTAGCTATCGTACAAAAATTATCCATCATTTTTCAATATTATTAACACCACATTAGGATTTTTATGTACTTTCCTATACCTATCTCAAATATTTTACAAATCGTTTCTACTTTGCACTTTATCTCCCACTCCATTTTTCAAGATTTGTCTAGTTAATCTTTATATTTCTGTATTTCCTGTAAACCATAAAAATCAGTGGAATGGGGCTCACTATGGGAGACAAAATTACAATGGGTATGCTGATGTGGACTATGGCGCATATTCAAATGGCAACTTGAACCATCAGCAGACAGTAAACTAATCACTTGAGTAGCCTGCAGATAAGCTTGTGCTATTTTTGCACAAATGAACTTGAAATTCTTAATTCTGGCATCATGGATGTGGTAACTGTACGAGACGAGCATTCTTTTTTCTTTTTTGGTGTGGGACCAAGTCTCGGTTTAGATGTTCAATATCTTTGCTAGAATGGCTCCAGGATTGCTATTTATCGATTCTTTTTAGGTTTCAATAAGTTTGGCATAGACTGGGCAGCATTAGACAGTTACTCGAATGTTTGTGTAACATCATAAGATGTGGAGACGGTACCGTACGTGTATTTTTATATTTTATAACAAGTGACTCATTTGGTAGGTCGTGTTCTAGCTAAATGCATTAGAGCATCTTTACCTGTACGGCTTTGAGATGTTTGAAAACACCACCCTGAGTGCTTTTACCATTCAAAATGATAGGTTTGGAGTTTGTTTTCCACCGAGTGCTTTGTGAGGTTTGAAATCCCTCCCCAAGTGTTTTTACCATTCAAAATGATAGGTTTGGAGTTTGTTTTCCACCCCGCATTTGAAACATAACCCCGCGAAATATAAAAAGCATAAATAAAGCAAAAGGAAAGAAAGAATTGGGAGGATTTTTACAGTTAAGTTGCACAAAAGTAGGGCTGCAAACAAGTCGAGCAGCTCGCGAGCGCTCGAGTCAAAGCTTGACTCGAGCTCGAGTTTGATCAAACTCGAGTCGAGCTCGAGCCCATATTTTGCATTGTCGAGCAGCTCGCGAGCAGCTCGAGATATATGAAATTACTAAAATACCCCTTATGTATATATGTATTTAATGGTTATTTTACAAAATTTCTTGAAAAAATTCAAACTGAACTCGAGCCGAGTTCGAGCATTTTGAATTCGAGTCGAGCTCGAGCTGAGCTTGAGCTCTTGTATTTTTTTATCGAGTCGAGCTCGAGCCTAAAAATTCGAGCTCGAGCTCGAGCAGTTAAAAAAAAAATTCAATCCTGCTCGATAAGGCCAATGCTCGACTCGGCTCGACTCGTTTGCAGTCCTACACAAAAGCCAAATAAAAAAAAAAAGAAAGAAAGTGTTAGGGCATGCACCTTTAGTTTTGGCGAATAGGTTTGGCCCACAAGCAAAAGTTTATTTGTTTATTGGTTTTATTTTTCCTAAAACGATAGATTTTATAGTTCCAACAAATGTACAAACACAAAGCCTAACTAGCCTTACAAGCAACCAACCGATTGAAGGGGATGAACACTAAAACATGCCCTAAAATAACTAAAAGAACTAGACTCAAGTGAGACTTCTTTCCCCAGCAAATGAACAAAACATCGAAACCTGGGTAAGAATATCCCCTTGTACCAACAAAAACAAAAGGAACTAGGTCACTGGTCAATGACCCTAGCCCAAAACCTCAAAAGATAGCAGACAAGGAAAACAGACTACAACAGAGTACAAAACAATAAATCAAGAACAAAGGAAAACCAGGCAAACTTACTAAATTACTCACAACAAGCTGCACAACACAACACTCTCAGGAATAAGGAGAGTTCAGCCTAAATGCTACCAAACTCAACCACTCTTCCAAATCCACATTAACCACTGCAATCTTAGTCCTCCAGGTTCTTTAGAACACCCACAAGTTTCTAGCTTTCTACATCCACCAAAGCAAATAAGTAGTGAACAACAATCTTGCTTCAGAGATATAGGAAGATGGGATAGAGCATACCTTATTCCATTAGTGCTTGATGTTGTTAGAGAGGTGATCAATGCCATCCCAAGTCTAAGGGGCTAGCTACCAGATCCTCCTAGCTTTGGGGCAAGTAAAGAACAGATGTTCTGTTGATTTAGGGGCTTCTCCAAAGTTGTACAAAGAGTAACCAACTTCACCCTTTTCTTAAATAGATTGGTATTGACTAGAAAAGCATTGTTCAAACATTTCCAGGTGAAGTGTTTGATTTTCCTTTTGAACTTCATCTTCCAACGTTTTTTCCCTTCTTCACTTGTTTATTCTTGCCCTTTGCTTGATTCTTCTACATCCAACAACTTCCATTTTTCACAGACTAGGTGATCATAAGAAGCTGCTACTAAGTGTTTTCCATTCTTCTCACTGTGCCAAACAAATTTGTCTTCTTCCTCTGGTTACAGGCTCTTAATCTTTAGAATGGCTTCTTGCTCCTACTCTGTGAAAATACTCTGAAATAAGCTCCTTGTTCCAATGTCTACCTGTAGCATCTATCAAAGCTCTCACCCAAGTGACATCTACGTTGGATTGCCTATTGGCCTTTGGAATGAATCCACGTAGATATAATCTTATGATATAATATTCTATTTCTCAAGATTCACATTGAACATTATTATTTCAAACATAATTACTTGAAATTGTATTTTATGATATAATCTCCTATTCCCTAAGATTCACCTTGAACATTATGATTTCAAACATAATTACTTGAAATTGTATCTTATGATATAATCTCCTATTCCCTAAGATTCACCTTGAACATTATTATTTCAAACATAATTACTTGAAATTGTATCTTATAATATAATCTTCTATTCTTTAAGATTCACCTTCAACATTATTATTTCAAACATACTTACTTGAAAATAAAAAGAAATTAATTTAAGTGTTTTAAGAGGAGATAAGATTTAAATTTGTAAAGTTATTAAATTAAAAAGGAGTCGTGTTAAGATATTTTTAAATAAGGTAAGAAAATTAAAAAAGGATTGTGATATCCTCTTCCCCAAGCCTCTTTCACGTCTTTCTCCCTCTAATCGTGCCTCTCCATCTCGGCTTCCTCATTATGGTCGGATTTATTAGTCAACTACAATAAGAATCCTAGTTTCTTCTCCTTCCAAGTGTTCCTCTTTAAACTGATCAAAAAGACCTATCTCTCGCATCTCCCTCCTTCTTTCTTCCTCAAGAATTATTTTTTCTTTCTCTTCATTGATCGAGACCAAATCCGGCGACCAAGTTGCCATTCAACCGAGACCCTCATCAAACTCCAGGCATAAAGGCCGAGAAACTCTTCAATCAGGCGCACAAGGTAAGGCTCCCTTTTTATTTTAAGTTGTTCCCCCCTTTGCCTTGAATTATATATCAAAAAACCAAGAGCCAAACCAAAATATTTTCTAGAGTTTTACCACAGTCAAGCCATGTTTGCGAGCCTAGGTTGACACATCAAACTCAGCCACCGAGCCCCCTAACCCAGCTGTAGAACCACCACAGGTCACAGCCCACAGTCGCGCCTAGGCCTGTCCCAGGTCGTTCCCAACCGTGCAGACCAGTCCGCTCTGTTCCCAGCACGCACAACTTGCAAGAGACCCGTGCAGATCCGTCTTATCGAGACCCGCAGCGTCCCAAAGAGACCCGCGAGTTCGTCGTGGAACCCGTGCAAGCGTGCCTAGGGCTGCAAACGAGTCGAGCGCGAGCGATCGAGTCAAAGCTCGACTCGAGCTCGAGTTTGACCGAACTCGAGTCGAGCTCGAGCGGCTCGAGCACGAACTCGAGCCCATATTTTGCATTGTCGAGTGGCTCGCGAACAGCTCGAGATATATGAAATTACTGAAATACCCCTTGTGTATATATGTATTTAATAGTTATTTTACAAAATTTCTTGAAAAAATTCGAACCGAACTCGAGCCGAGCTCGAGCATTTTGAATGCGAGTCAAGCTCGAGCTCTTGTATTCTTTCATTAAGTCGAGCTCGAGCCTAAAAAATCGAGCTCGACGAGCTCGAGCAGCTCAAAAAAAATTATATCATGCTCGATAAGGCCAATGCTCGACTCGACTCGGCTCGTTTGCAGTCCTAACCGTGCCGAGACCCGCTCCTGCAAATTCCCTTGCTCGTGTGCTCCCGCAGCCTCCTCGCTCGCTCCCGCGCGCTGCTAGCCCCCAGGCGTGACCCCGTGCGTGCTCCTAGCACTCGCAGGCAACCCGCAGCGCCTACCACCCCCAGGTGTCCCGCGTGCGCCCAGCACTCCTAGACCACCCGACCGACCCCAGCAGCATTCCAGGAACGGCCGTGCACCACCAGCAGGCCCCAGGCTCGATCCGACAAACCCCTGCCACGGCCTTGCGTGGCGGACAGAACCGAGATGCCCCGACAACCCGTTTTCATTTCAACCGGGTCTCGATTTATTTCGCAGCCCTTTTTCTGGGCCTTAATTAAATTATAAGCCGATCCTTGATTAAATTTCATCCGTCGAGCTATTAACCTCTTTCTAAAAACTTAGCCGAGCCTCGATTTTATATTTATTTTTAACTAATGAAATTATTGTTTGGATCTATGAGGATCTCGTTATGTAGAAATCACGAATTCAATAGGTAAACCTATACGTAGCGAATCTAAAGGTTTGACGTAGAAAACTTACGGCTTAAAATTTTCTGAGTCTATCTGATTCGGGATGACGGGAATAACAAACGAACGGATGGCAGGGATCGAGTCGATCGAGTCGGTGGTGTGGATCGTGTGTGATGTCGTCGGTCGTGTCGCGCGAGTCAGGTCGGTCGCGGCGGATCTTCGGCATCTCGTGGTGGTCAACGGTTGTCTGGCTGGCTGGGGTCGGCGATCCTCGGCCTTTGGGTCTTGGTTCATCGACTTCTGTAGATGATCACGGGGTCTCGATTACTTTCGGGATCTTCTACTATATCACTCTTACACCTCTTCAACATGTACTGATGGAGCAACAAGAAGAACATAAAGCTTGAATGAGATCTAGAGAGTGAAACTGTGGGGCGCCGTTTTTCACGTTTGAATAATAGATCTATCTCTTTTCTTCTCATAAGCTTAATGATGTATATATAGAGCTACAGTAGGGATCCTTAGGAGAATAGGAATAGGGCTTCTTAAGTAATGGATTGACTGTGAGCCAGACCTACTCCTCAAATTACTTAAATAATATTACAGTCCACTAACGTAATATTATTGCACTCCCTTTTCCAGGCAATGATTGCACTCCCTTTTCCTAAAGGAATAATATTATTTAAGTAATTGGACGTAATATTATTGCACTCCCTTTTCTTAGGCAATGATTTTCTTAGGCAATGATGGCCCACAGTCAGTCCATTAATTGATGTTATTCCTTGAGGCAATCATTGACCGTGGTGGTCATATTTTATATTAATTGATGTTATTATGAGTAGTTGATTGTTAATGTTGATTTGGTTAGACTGGATGGTTTTTGGATATTTCGTCCTTCAGACTTTGGTTAATTTTTAGTCGATGGCATGACTTATGGTTTGATGGCACTTATGTTTTGATCACTTGATTATGAATCGATATGAGAATTCGAGAAAGTTTTTGAAAGTTTGAATGCTATGGTGTTATGTGTATGTTTCGAGTTTGAGAAAATGTTGAACTTTGGCTCGAGTATAGTTTTCAAAATTTGTTAACGCCCCTTTAAATTGCAATATTCATTCTTGAAAATCGGGGTGTTACATAATTGAAACGTTTCCACCATTTTCTTTTGTATTAAATAATAACTTTGCGAAA